CCTCACCTTCTGTCATCCCACATGTGCCTTCCCCTGATGTTATCTTGAGAAGAATGAGACTGCTGTAAGTATCCTCAGTTCTTTGTAAGAGCTCTCATTAGTGTGTGCTTTTAGCAGTCCTAACACCAAGGTGTAGTATTTACGGAGGCACTGCACTAACTCTTCAGTTGGGACTTTCCCCTTACTGCTTTGGAACTACAGATAGTCTGTGCCAGAAATAGCCCCCCACAACCCCAGCAGAAAGATCCTGGGATCATCCCCACCTTGCTCTGCCAGAGCATCTCATCATGACGTGTTTTCCTCCATTTGGCAGGACCTGAACAACCTCAGCCTGAACAAGAGAACCCTCAGCACAACCAACCTGGCTGGTTCAGCTACAGCAAATGCCTCCTCAGAGTACAAATCTCACTTCAACCACAGTGACAGCAACAGCAACAACAGCAACAGCAACAGCCACAGCCCTGCCATGGTGCCCAATGGGGAAGGGATTTACTCCCGAGAGGTGCTGATGCACAGGACGGTGGATGAACTTCCCGAAGGCGTGGATCCCACTAAAAAAGAGGTGACAGCATTGCTGGTTTGATCCCTTCCTAACTTAACCTGCAGCTGGCTAAGTGTACTTTAGACCACCAAGTCATGCTCAGATTCAAGGGGACACTGGCAGGACACACGGGTGTCACCAAAAGCAGGAGCTTTGTGTGAGGAAGTTCATAAGAACTTAGAATGGTTGGGTTGGAAGGGACCTTAAAGATGGTCTAGTTCCAGCCCTCTGCTGTGGACAACTTGTGGTGGTTTTAGCCTAGTTGAAGTAATTATGGGGTTTCTGTGGCAGAAAAAAAAAAAAATAATTTCAAGTAGTAATTTTTTAAAAATGCTTTTTTCTTCTGGTAGAATTGTTTTGCTCTACCATTCAACTTCTGTCCTCAAAGGGACAGGAGGGCAGGGTGACACAGCTGAGGACCAAGCCAGAATTTGCATTTTACTTGAGCTGTAGGTGAATGTTTTCATTTGAAACTCCTCCTAGAAGGGACGGTTTGGGTTTGGTTTTTTTTTTTAATTGTCAGAAAGCCTACATTTCAGCAATTTTCAATTTCAGAAAAAATGACACATGCCAGATTTCCAGTCAGACCAAGGATTTTGGCAGTGTCTGAAGCTGAATCCAAGCAAGCTGATGGGGGGGACAGAGTATTGATTCCCTCTATTCCCTGTAATCCTTGTTTGACCAATGTCTTGCCCAACAGATCTGGCAAAGGCCAACACCCACAGCCAGAGCCATGATCCACAGCTGGGCTCTACATGGGTTCTTCTACCCAAAATACCAGGAAAAAGCTCAACCTCCCATTCCCACAGGGCCTTTGTCAGCATCCCTTCTTTCTGCAAACCCTGTCTTTCCAGCAATGGGAGTGAACATTTCCAGTGAATATTTTAGGGGAGGGGACTGAGTGGGGGGAGAGGCTTTGACTGTGAATCACTGCCTAAAACTCTGGCCAGCAGAGCTTCCCTGGTGGACCCTAAATTGTCCTGGCTACAGTATGATCAGCTGGGGCTAAATTCCAGACAGAGCATGCTAAATCCTCAAAACTGGAACATCTCTTTGGGCTGGTGGGTTTTTTATTCCCCTGGTGCTTTGGGAAGTGGGATGAGGAACAGTCAGCTGGGATGTTGCATTTCCCACCATGAGGACAGGGAGCTGAACAGGAGCTGTTGGTCTGCAGTCAGAGGTCAGCAGTGGCATGGTGGGGAGGGGATGCAGCTGTGAGGGTGTCCCAGGCTCTGCAAAAGCCAAAGCTGACCTGTCCTCCTCTCTCCTCACTGCAGTGCTATCTCTCCGATGCTGATTTCCACGATATCTTTGGGAAGTCCAAGGATGAGTTCTACCAGATGCCCAAATGGAAGCAGCAGAATGAGAAGAAACAATTTGGACTCTTCTGAGACTGCAGGGGGCATGTGATGACTCTGGGACCAGCCCCTGCTCCCTTAGGAGCTGCAGGAAAAGTGTAGGCATTTCCTCAGTGATCCCAACCCGGCACCCCAATCCAACACAGTTATTCCAGCAGCCACTGTTCAGGGGATGGCTCCTTTCTTCCTGCAAACCCAGAACCCCAGGAGGAAAAACCTTTTTCAGGAACAGCCTGACAGGATGTTTTTGCCTCTTCCTGACACTTTATTGCTGATAGCCATGAAGACAAGTGTGTGCCACACAACTGCATTGTAGCCTCATCTTTCCTCTTCCTTTTGCCAATTGTCACATGCACGAGGCCATGATCTTTCTTCATTTGTAGAAGTTTAAAGTTAGTCAAGACAAAGGCCATTTGCAGCTGCTGTGTGAATTCTGGGTGGGGAGAGGAGGGGGAAGCCCTGAGAGGATGGAGGGGGAGCCTTGAGGTCAGGAACAAGCCACATGCCTGATGAGGTAGTCTGTGGAGTGACACCAGACAGTTCTGCCCCTTCTCACCTTGTAGAAAAGCTACTCACCAAAAAACAGCAAGAATCAGGTCCAGATGAACATGCATAGCCCAGGGCAGGTAAAACACATGAGAACCTGGTTTGGGGGGAAAAAGCACTTATTATGACCATATTTATTAGCCAATGTTTCCAGAGGATGATGACACTAAAGGCTAGACACAAGTATTGATTTTTGACTGCCAGACAAGACTACCTTTTTTTCTCTTTTTTCTCATTGAGACAGCATCTGCAATCTCACCTGGCCTCCCTGACTGTGGCCAGGTGAATGTTAGAGTCCACCTGCCCGCAGACCAGAGGCTTGAGGAAGCCAGGAGGGTTTTGGGTATGACCTGAGGCAGAGGGTGTCCTACTGAAGCTTTTATCAGGGCTCCATCCCTGTGATGTCCTTGGGACTGAGAGTGCTGGTTCCACACTGTGGGATCAGTCTGGCTGGGGAGGGCAGTGGGAAATGTAAGCAATCAGTGATTACTGGATAAAACTGTAAACTAAAGGCAGCAACACCGCCTTAAAAACTCAGACAATGTGGTTTGCAGTTTTACTCCATTTCCAACCTGATCAGTGATTCCAAATAAACATCCAGCAGCAGCACTGTAAGTGTCCTTGATCAGCATGGGGGGTAGGATTGCAGCAGATAAAATCTCTGCAGGGCCACAGATCCTTCAAACACATGGTCATCGATGGAATTTTGGATTTTTTTGGAAAGAAATGAAGAAACTGAGGAGGTGGGGTCCCTTCTGTTCTCAAACTCGATGTAGCTCAGGCCATTTGTCCCCCAGTGCCCATGGACCCTGCTCCTGAAGCCCTCATTGGCAGTGAGCAGCAGTACCTGGCCTGACTGCCCAGCCCTGCTGCAGGGATGTGGGCACGGAGCTGGGCAGCTCCAGGCTGTTGACAAAGAGCTCTCACTCAACATCCAGGACCACATCATTGTGCTGAACTGTCACTATCTGGCTGGGCTGGAGCAGGGACCTCCAGGTCATGGGATCTCCTGAATAGATATTTGTGTTTAAGAATTGGTAGTTAACTTAAAATAAACCCCAACCCCATTGTTATGTTCCTACTGCCACTTCATCCCATTTCTGCTTGAGGGTCCAGCCCAGGACCCACTGGAATCCTCTGTGCAGAGTAAGCATCAAGAGAGACACAAATCAGCTGAATTACCTGTGATTGCTCCTGTTGTGTTCACAAGAGATGCAATCAGTGCACATTGCCCATGTTTCAACCTCTGTTGGCACTGCTGGAATCAGCAATATTTGCCTTGCCTCGCTGAAGAGTGCTGCTGCCAGCTCCCAAATTAATGAATTGCTCACTTGGTAACAACATGGACCACGTCCCTTCCTTTGGGGAGAGAGATCTTGCAGCATTGGCATCATGCTCTGCCCATCCCATCTCCATCTCAGTTCCTTTCCCACCTGGCTATAGTAGCTTTCCCCAGCTGTTCCTACCTCATAAGGGATGTTTTTCCTTCCCATGGATCTTGTCTACCTCTAAGTGCAAAACAGAGGAAAACTCGGCCTCTCTGTGCAATCCATCCAAGCTCACACTGACCCTGGTCCCCCACTTCTCACCACAGCAGGCAGGTGAGGGCTTTAGCTCAATAATCCAACTGAAATCTAATCCTGCCACCCAAAAATGCAAGTAGTAAGGTCACAGCCACCCCAGTGGGCTGATCTGACCTCACAGAGGAACAGAATCACACAATGGCTTGCACTGGGAGGGACCTTAAAGATCATCCAGTTCCATTCTCCTGCCATGGGCAGGGACACCTTCCACTATCCCAGGTTGCTCAGAGCCCCAGCCAAAGGGGCCTTGGACATTCCCAGTGATGGGGCATCCACAGCTTCTCTGGGAAACCTCTTCCAGTGCCTCACTGCTCTCACAGGGAAGAATTTCTAACTTGCCCCACAGGAGCTGATACAAGTGAGGAGGCAGGAGCACTTCTTACCCCCTTCACCTCTGCTTTTCATCCCATGGCTCTCTAAAACAAAGTGCTGAGAGCACACAGGGAGCAGGGACCAAACTCAGGCTGTCCCTGGGTGGGAGTCAAGCATGTTCCATCCTTGGCCTTCAAATGTGTCTCACCAATGTGCCCCATCCCAGAGGTGACCTGGGACAGCTCGTGCCACTGCAGGGCCCCCTGCTCTGCCTCGCTGGCCACTCTTCAGCTCTTTCACCTGGCTGGTTGTTAATGCAGTATCAGCCCTTGAAGTGTGTGTTTAATTCACATTTAATCTAGCAAAAACATCACACAATATTGTTTACTGCAGCATAACAAACTCCAGGGAGGGCTAAAAGAAACCCAGCTTTGCAGTGGGCATAAGAATCATTAAATCCAGGCTATTTTGGACTAAAAAAATAAGATGACCAAAGTATGTTTAAAAGGACATTAACATGTTTGCTATCAGCCCCTCATATTCACCACCAGGGATTCTGATAATTTAAGAAATCAAGCAGGTTTATCTCCAAATTTATGCATGTTGCATTCAAGTAGGACAAAGAGGCAAATAGCAACAAGTAATTGAACGCTTCCAGAATTTGTTTTAAACTTTTAATAGTCTAACATACTGTTAGCAACACAGCTGGCTCTTCAAAGTATATATTATTTTATTTCATCAATATTCCCTTAATTCTGTAGTTCTACTTGAAGACAAATCACTCGTTGCCATAAATCCTGTGTTGTTCTCAAAACTCTCTCGTGATGGGTTACTTCTCCAGTGCAACTGGGACCTGCTAGCACTTAAAACATCTACTTCCTCTCTGTTAAAAAAATGACATTTTACTGTAAAAACACAAAGAAAGTTTTACTGTATTAAAAAAAAAAAAAGCCTTGCTGGGTGTTGAGCATGTTCCCACTGTCTTTGGTTGGCAAAAGACCTTCTCTGAGGTCCCTTTGAGTGGGTTTCACTTTGGGGCAGAGGGAAATCTGCTGTTCGGCAGCTTCTTTCTCCTCCACAGGATGAGAGCTAGGCTTTGAATGCAAAGTGGCCTGGCTGAGAGCCAGGCACACAGGCAGAGTAGTGCTCATGTATTTTTTATTACAACACAAAAGGAAACTCGGGTTACATAACACGGGGCTTTGTAGTGCAGCTTTCTTTTTTAATCTGTAACAGAAAGGAGGGGAATCGTGTCCCCGTTTAGAACTTCATATGCTGAAGGATGGCTGACACCTGCAGTTGCAAGAAGCCACCTGGCACCAGGCCACTGATTGCAGTGCTGAGGGAGACTTCTCCTTGTACAGATGTTGGGTGCTTTGCCCAGATGCCTGACCGAGCCCAACCCAAGACTAAAAAAGGAGTCCCTATCCTCTCGCTAAAAGCAACATTAAAAAAACCCGAAATAAAGTGAACTAAAACCACAGCTGGATTGGTTGAACAGGTACAAAAGGATTAATCTCAACAGCAGCATTAGGATGTTTCCAGCAGCAGGGAGAAGGTCGATGGCTGTTTCACACCGGGGTCCTACGGAGCACCGAGTGCTGCTCCAGGGAAGGTGCTGGGGACTGACCCTGGCACTGGCAGGGCTCACACACTGAATTCCTTCCAGGTCTGTGAGGAGGCCCACGGTGGCCTGGAGGAGCCAGGCTGCTAATCACAGTCCTGGATATTGACGTAGACAAAGAGGGTGGAGGAGGAGTACGGGTCTCCGTTCTTGGTCAGGAGATGGATGTGGCGATAACCTGGAAGCAGAGACACAGATGGAAAACGGCCTTTAGTCCATTTGGAAAAGTATTTGCTAATGTTTGCCAAGACCCTGCACAAACATCTCCCTGTCTTTTGTTCCCAGTTTCCCACAGGATCCTGAACAGGCAGTCCCCAGAGGCACAGCCCTGAGCATGGGTAACACAATGTGCCCAAGGTGGCAAGAGACAATGTTTTGGTGCCCCAAAAATCCACTCTGAGCTGTGATGGATCTGGACCACTCATCCAGGACCCTGGAGCTTCTCAGAGGGCTCAGTGGCTGTGAGGAAGGCAGCAGGGCCTTACCTTGCTTCAGACTCGTGAAGGGAAGGGTGTACTGCCCGATGAAGTCATTCTTGGTCGACATGTCAAAATCTTCCACCACAAACCGGACCAAGGCGAGTGCAGGGATCTCTATGTCAAATGTAAACTCTTCATTCCAGTTTGGGTTAAAGCCTGGGCAACACAGACAAGGATGGAGGTCAGAGATGTCAGCAGTAATGGTGGCCTGAGGTGTTTGCAAAGGGATGGAGATTTTTCCTGACTGTCACCCTAATCTGACCTAGACCAAGGCTCTTAGGAGGTGCCAAGAGCCTTGTTCCCAGCTTTGATACTGTGATTTGCTACCTGGAACTAATAAATCCTGCAGCTTGGGCTGCTCACTGCAGACCTTGGTCCTTGCAAAGAGTGAGGAGCAGGAGAAGGGAGGAATTCAACTCTGCTCCACAGGCTCTTGCTGGATGGTACATGGATGTCTTTGGTTGCCATTGGACCAGATGTAAACTTTTATAGCCCTAAACCAGGGGAGGGAAGAGAGGAAAGCTGTGCTTTTGTGTTGAGACAGATTTCTGGGGCCTTAAGCCTCTGCAACTGCTTGAGATAATCCATCTAAGCACCAGTCTGTGCCCCAATTTCCCTGTCTGCAAGAAAAGTTAATGAGGAGTGTCTGACTACAAAAAATATAATCAAGTCTGGATCAGGGTCACATGGTCCAGAATCACAAAGCACACAAAACTGAGACCTACACATGAAAGCTCAGTGCCCTCTCTCCAGGCCATGGCAGCTGCAGAGTCAATAAACCACTCCCCAGAAGCAAACAGGAGAGGACATCCTGTTGGAAACCCTACTGCCTGTGCAGAGCAGGGACCAAGGACAGCAAAATGTCACCTGGAGCCTGCTGGTCATGCAGGGTTTGTCAGTGATTCTGCAGGAGACAGGGATCTTTCATCTGGTCCTGAAGGTGCTGAGATGGGCCTGGGGTGTCTTTATGGCTTGATCTGCTTTCCACAAGGCAGCACTTATCATTCCAGCACCATTCCAGTATTGTTCCAGCTAGAGAAGGGCTGGCCATGGGGCTGGGAGTGCTCAGCAGCCCTGAGGAACAGGCCTGGCAGGTCTGAAGTGTTCCCTACACAACTTTCACTTGACAAGCTGTAAAAATTATTGTAGGTGATGGAAATGGCCACAAGATTTAGGAGCCAGGCCAGATGTACTCAAACAGGAAAGAGGAAAAGGGAAACATTGTCAGCAGGCAGGAAAATATGCACCAGCTTTCCAGTGCTTGGCTCTTACTACACATAGAAAAGGAGAGTGTGTGTGTTTGTGCAGAATATCCATGAATAATATCAAACCCTCAGTGCACAGAGGGAAGTCACAGCCATGTCTGACTGGTAAGAAATGGTCCTCCAGCTTCTGAGATATTCAAAATTCTCCCTGAAGAGCTACAAGTAAACTTTGTATGGCCCTACTTTAGGCAGAGGCTGGAACAGACACCTCTGAACTTCCTTGCATCAATCTTTTGTGAGTTTGTGACACTTTTGGGGTACAATCAGCCCCACAAGAAGCTTCCTCTGGGAAGATCCTGATGAGAACTCCTGCACACCAGGTCAAATCCAGCTGCATGGAGGTAAAGAGCACTTCCAAAGCTCTAGCTCTGCAAATCTGGCAGCCAGCCCCAAACCATTCACATGGTTGATGTTGTTTTACAGGGAATTTCTGTCTTCAAACAGAACAACACCACCACCTCAAGTATCTGCTTGGTGTGGGCAGGACTGGGTGCCCCAGGGAGGTTTGCCCACAGGGCAGCAGTCTTGCCAAGGGACAGAAAAGGTTCCTGCTCATGGGAGCAGAGCTTGGAGGAAATCTCCTCACCATTGTTTTCGATGACTTTGGTCTGCTTCTTGTTGTTGTCCTGCTGGACACCGTGGATCTCTATTGTTACCTTGGGATCCACAATGGAGTTTTTGCTTTTGTTCACCTTTGGCAGCTGCTGACCAGAGATTATCTGTGGAGGAAACAGGGGAAGAGGTCAGGACATCATTAGGAGAGGGGGCTCCCTGGAGGATTGCCTCTCCTTCCCCAGGAGTGCAGGATCTGCTGTGAAGGCTGGTGCTGCCCTTTTGGGGCTGGTGCTGTGACATCCTTCAGAGGAAGCTGTCATGAGCTTAAAGCACCTAAGGAACCTTGCTCCAGCCCAGCCAGCTGGCTTTGAGACAGGCAACTTTTCTGAGTGTCCCCACAGTGCTCAGCTGGTCCTTGGGAACACCAGAGGTGGCTGCTGATTGCATGTCTGCCTGCACAGCTCTGGAACGACAGCAAATGTTGTCATTAACTTATTGCCCAACATTAAACATGTGAGTAGATCCCTGGAGGATCCAAGTCCATGAGAGCCCCCAGATGTGGGAAATCAGTAGGGTTAGACAACATTGAAGGTAGGACCAGAAGAAGGAGAAGGTACAACCTACACACCCCCCCAAAAAGTGGATGTTACTGAGATGTTTTCCAACTTCTATTCTTACTTTAAGCAGCAGCTTCTTCTTTGTCCCCCATGTTCCTTCTGTGATGGATTTTGGATTGAATTTGGTTTGTTCATCCCGGAGGAATTCCGGCTTTAAGACATACCCAGAAAACCCATTGTCCTGGAACCGACCCTGGTACACATCCATTTCTGTGCCTGCTGTCTGGAAATTTAGGGCAACTGCAACATAAATAAATAACTTCAATCACTCAGATAAATCAATAGCAATCTTTTCATGCTAATTCTGTTCACATAAAACTGCACTTCATGGACATAAACATTGGCTTTTCCACGCTTCAAAGAGCAGTAGTAAACTCTGACCCTCACAGCCTGCTAGCCCTGAGGATTTCTTGCATTCAGAGATGACAAAGACAGGGAGGAGCCATTACAGCCATTCTGCCTTCCCTAGGATCAAAAATTGTCCTGCAAGGAATTTATGCTAGCTAGAACAAGTGCATCTTTTAGATAAACCTCTTAATTTCTATGCTGAAGGGGTCCTCTCCTGCAGTGAAGCCAGCAAATCCATCTCAGATAATTTCTCTGGCTACTTAGCCTCATTATAAAATCTCCTTTTCAGCCCAGATTTGCCTGTTTTCATTTGCCATCCCAAGGGGCATTGATGCCTCTGTTGTTTGGACTAGCGAGCTCCTCATTGTCTGAACTCCTCAGGTGGCAGCACATAAGCTCATAAGAGGTGATCAAATCACCTCTTTACTGTCTACTCCCCAAAACAGACTAAACCTCACTGGTGTCCTAATACCAGGCACATTTCTTGTATTCTTCCCAATTTGTTGATACCTTTTAAAAGGCATTGATGTAAAACCTGGAACAATCTCTGTGAACAGCCTCACTGACAGCACAGGGAGTGCACATGGACCCCAGCAGTTCCTCACTGCTTCCTTGATTTCCTCAAGATGATTTTAAACTCTTTAGCGTTGCTAAGAGTTGCTAAACATGCTAAGACATCTCTTAAGACACAGAAATTTATCCTGGTTGCAGGTCCTTCATACCTGGTCATACTTGAAGGCTGAGAGCATTTTTCCACCTGCAGCAAGACTTTGATAACTGCAGCACACTGGTTTTCCTGGGAGCTGAAAGTACTCAGGGCTTGTAAAAAATCTTGTTTTGCATGCCCAAATATCGGATTCATGTCTGGCCTTCCTGTACCCCAAGGGAACTGATGGTGCCTCCCAAGGATTGTCCTTAAGCCAGACAGGACAAGGGGTGCTACCTGTGTCCCCATGGGGGCTGCAGGACCCACACAGCTCATGCTCCCTTCTCCTTTGTTAAATGGCAACAAGTCTGCTGACAGTGAAATCGCAGGGATTTGCACATTAATGTGCAGAAAAGCCTCTCCTAATGGATTTGTGAGACAGAAAATGGTCCATGGAAAGCCACTCGGCATTGTTTGGAAAGCTGGTCTCTCCCACTGACTGCTGAGCCTCTGGCTGCAAAGGGCTTGAGACTGTGCCTCAGCTGGAGCCCCTCCACAGCCAGGTCACGGGTGACCCAGGCAGGTGACCCCCTCCAGCCCCCCAGTGACACCCACCGATCTGGCAGCCGACGTTCCACAGCTCCACAGGGCTGTAGTTGGAAGAATCCGTCCTCCAGCCTGCAGGGTAGATACGGCTCAGGTGCCTGATGTTGTGGTGAATAAAACTGGTTCCTACAGAGAAAGGAAAAAAAAAGAAGAAAACATCCCTTTCAGTGGTGGAAACATCCCTTTCAGTGGTGGAAACATCCCTCTCAGTTTTATCTCTTCTTGCTGCTGTTGTGTGCTCCCCTCTGCCTGGCAAGTCTGGCTGAGTGGGAACCACCTGCAAAAATGCCCTTCTTGCTAACAGCCTAGAGGATATTAAGTTCTTCCCACTTGTCCTGGCTTGTAAGATAAACATGTATTCTATTTGCCATCTGTTGGAGGTTGGGCAGTTTTCTTATCTCTCCAAAGAACAATGTCTCCCTCCGGGGAGATATCTTCTGTTAATGGACCATTGAATGACTCACTGCATCACCAGTAAAGTTACATCATCCCATTGTGAGATGCTCTGCCCAGAGGGAGGAGCCAAGCAACCCTACCTGCATAAAATCAGCATTTTTTGGGACACCAGGGCAGCCCCTTCACTGGATTCCCAGAGGAGCAGCTTCTTCCCCGCTGGATCCCCAGAGGAAGACCAGGCCCAACTACTCCATCACCAGACCTTCAGAGAAAACTCCACCCTTCTCCAGATCCCTGCTCCAGCAGCATTTCATCTGCCACTCCAGGAGGAGCAGCCACCATTTAACTGGACTATCACCAACACCCTGACTCCTCAGGGTGTCAGGTTCCTGACTCTATCACTAGTTTTGTTTGTGCTAATTACATTTTTTTGGGGCTTTTTCCTAGTAAAGAACTGTTATTCCCATTCCCATATCTTTGCCTGAGAGCCTTTTAATTTTAATAGTGGTAATTGGGAGGGAGGGGGTTTACCTTTTCCATTTCACAGGAGGCTCTTGCCTTCCTTCACACACTCCTGTCTTTTCAAACCAAGACACCACTTTTCTCAGTGACATGCTTGACCAAAGAGATCCTAACCCATGTCTCTGGGATGCCTTTTCTACCAGCAGCTGTCCCTTTCTGGGGAGCAGGGACAGAGGAGGGCAGAACACACATACCAGACTCCTGGGCCAGTTTCAGAGCTTTGCTCTCCGAGAACGACGACATCTCGTAGAAAGCCCGAGGATGGTTGGGGTCATCAAAGCCTTCAAAGTGGACACTCTTACAGTAGACAACTGTGTCTGACAGCTCCTTGGCCAGCTTCAAGGTGTCACTCTAAAAACAGGAGACAAGATGTTTGTGGGGAGGTTTTGCTGTCGTGCTCAAAAGTGGTAGTTGTGTTTTCTCTGTAGGACCCCTGGGGCTTTTCTTCTCCACCACTTCCACCAGGATAAGATGCACACTCTCAGCTGGTGGTCAGTGCACACTCTCAGTCAGTGGCTGGTGGTGTGCCCTGTGTGTCACCCTGTGCAGGAAAGGCTGGAAAAGGATTCCCTCTTTGTTGGTGGGATACCCTTCCCTGCTGCTCTCTGCAGGATCATTTGTATATCAGCACCCACGTCTGTTTCCAGGTGCTAAACTTTACAGCACAGCCTTAGCAATGACTTTTCCATGCTGTCCTGGTCCCAGGCATGCAAACCTGGAAATAAAGGGAAGAGAAGGCTGTGAAGCCTCCACAGAGCGTGGGCTTTTCCCCCCATGAACTAGGAAGTTGTCACAATGCTTTGATGAGTCCAACTCCACAGCCACATTTATTGGTGCAAGTGAAAGTCCCCAGTTCCCATCAAGGGCAAGAAAAGAAAGTCAAAAGATGTCAGAATGCCAAAATAATGTACATATTATTGACTAGAGAGCAGAGAAATAAGTAAGACCTGCAAAGAGTGAGCAGCTATCAAAAAGAAATATGGATCAGTCCTGATACAGAGGTAACACCAAGAGCTTTGCCATCAGTGGGGCTGAATGTGTCTGTGTCACCTATGAAGCCACCCTGTGAGGGATATGGGCTTCACAAGGACCTGCACACTGTAAAAATCCATTTCTCACATGATGGGGCAAAACACTATTGTAAAGGCCAGCCTTTTCCTTCCAGAAATAATCATACTAATTGCTTTAGGAACTGGCTACCCCTTCCCCATAGATCTTCCCTCCTCCAGGTCAGAAACAAACAGCCAGTGAGGCTGCAGGCATATCCCAAAATGTGACTGGAAAAGCCAAAGTCATGACTGTCCCATGAGCAATGGCTTTCTGGAAATAAGACAGAGATGTGTCCTTCCACTGCTTCCATAATTGCTACACGGTCTGTCCTTGCTGCAAGGTCCTCCAGTCTCATTTTAGAGAAAAAAGCCAACCTTTTTCCTTGGCTGGCTCTGCAAGATCTCTGTTTGTGCTTGGGACAGGGATCATTAAGCTGGGCAAGCATCACGATCCTCAGCCCCAGCAATTTCAACAATTCACTCTTTCAACCCAGCTGAGTAACTGAAACCACACTGAGACCTGTCTTGGCTGGGAACACATGAAAAATTGTATTTCAACTGCTTTTCTTTCTTTCTTTCTTTAGGTGTGCTACAAAACTCATCTAAAAGTGATTTCTCAGTGATTTCTTCTTTCACCTACCTTTCCCTTCTGCTCTACCTTGGTCTTCACAGATTCATCTTCGATTTCAGCTGCTTCATCTTCATCAGAGACATCCTCAGCCTCCAGGTTGTTGTTCCCATTGATGGGGTCCTCCTGCCTGCTCAGCTTCTTGCCTTTCACCAGGATCTTCCCTTTCAATTGCTGCACAAGGAAAAGTGGACAAAATACCTGGTGATTAGACGAGGAAAAGTGGACAAAATACCTGGTGGCCCACCCTGAAAAAGCCCCTCAGCTGTAACCAGTGCTTTTACAGTTGCATCAGTGACTGGTTATTTCCCAGAGACACAGGTAAAAATAAATCTGTTTTTACACTGAGGCCCTGCCCAGCCTCTGAGACCAAAGCCATGAGTCTGAAAACCCCAGGGAACCCAGTGATTCCCCTCTGCCATAGAGCTGACCATCCCCTCAACCAGACAACTTAAAGAGTTGTGCTGTTAAAGACAATTAAAATATACTCTTTTTTTCCCCCAAGTCTGAAATATTGCTCAGCAAACAAGGCTGAGCCTGGAGGTCTGGGCTGCTGGAAGAAATTTGAAGCACCATTTTTGCCCCTCTGTGTGGCCTGTGATTTAATGCACCCCTCACTCTGCAGTGTGTGGCTATAAACCTGTGCACAACTCTGGAAACTGTCTGAGATCCAAGCAGGGGCTGAGGCAGTGCAGCCTCTGCTCCTCTGACATTTTAATGGGCAGAGAGCTCCAGCAGGCTCTGGACAGGTGCCTCATGCACAGCAGACATGGAATTTTAATACATTTGGCATTTTGCAGGTGAAGCCTTGGGGTGCTGACAGCCTCAGGAGGATTCCCCTTTGCAAAGCCACCTCCTCTTAGGGAACAGCTTCTCCTGCCACTGCTCTGATGGCACAACACTGAGCACAGCCAGCAGCGTGTGCTCCCTGTGAGAACAGGGAGCACCTTCCCTGTGCTGCACCAGTTCTCTCCAGCCTCTTTCAAGGATCACATGAAACCCCTGGTTGGAGCCCTGGACACTGAGAGTTTCAGACTTTCTGTGCTGCCAGGCCCTGACCCCCAGGAGAACACTGCATTGACCTGAGGCTGTGGAGAAGCTTCCAAAATGGAATGACAGAACTGGGATTGTGGGTGTGGAGTTTGAATAGAAGTGTGTGATATCACAGGGTGGGAAACTGAGAGTTTAACGGTTTAGAAAATAGTAATAGATATAAAGTAAGATGGAGGTTTTAGGGCAGAGACTAATCCTTCTTGACCTCCTTCTTCTTCTTCTTCACCTCCTTCTCCACAGTTTTGTGTAATTGGATAACAAAGTCCACATTGCAGCCACAGGTGGTTGGTTATTGGGTTAAAAGTAAAAATAATTGAGGTGTTACTTCTTAATTGTACAGTTTATCCTTAAAAGGCCTTGTAGAGATGGGGCTCCATGTTTAGTTTGTCAGAGTGAAGTGCTGTAGGACTCAGGGTTTGTGAGACTGTGACAGAGATAAAAACTGATAAACATCTGAGTCTGACCAAGAAATACCGTCTCACACATTAAATCCTGACCTTGGCAAAAAAAAAAAGCAAAGAATCCTCAACCCCTCACCACTGATACATCCTTTGCACAAGCCCTAGCTGTGGGGGGAAGGCTGGAGCCTGGACAGGGATGACTTAGAGCCCAAACAAGGCAGCAGAAATGCTTGGGACAGGGAGAAGTATTGGGAAAGGTGACTGGTAGTGATCTCCAGGTGTTTGGGTTATGCCTTAAAATCAAGAGCACCACTAGGCCTGGCAGCTTAGTGGAATCTCCAGGAACAGGAGATTTGCTGCCACCTGGATGTGTTTGGTGGTCCTGGCTTTGGAGGGTATGAGTTATCCCCAAAAAAATGCTATCTTGGAATTAGCCAGCACAGCCCCTCAATCTGTGTAGCACATTCCCCTTTCCTCAACAACACCCTATATTTACCTTTTCTGCAACAGCAAAAGCAACAAAACCCCACCTGTCATGGTTTGACACGGGAAGAGAATTTTTTTTTTAGAAGGAAGAGGTTCACCAGTCAGGGGTCAGGTTTAGATACTGACACTTGGGGTGACCAATTGAAGGTGGACACGCCTCTGAGAACACAGAGGGGTTAAAAGCGGAATTGCCAGGAGGACTCGTCCTTCTTTGGTTCCGGTCATCGCATGATACGGACCTCCCCCGCCCCAGCCCGGGCTGGGTGGGGGAGGGGAGCCATGCGGCCTGCAGAGGTAGGCCAGGAGGTAAAGGATCGGAACCGAGCTGGGCCAGCTCCTGCGGATGGAAGGGTGGAGAACATCTGGGATGTTTTTGTTCCCCCTCCCCTAAGCCAGAGGGAAAAGAGATAGAGAGCCAGCAGACACCTAGAAGTTTGCCGGCGGAGGAGAAGGAGAAGGGGGGGGAAAATGCCCAGCGTGGGAGACTAGAGAAAGAGTCCTGGGCTGAGATTGCAGCTGTCCGGGGAGTCCGGGAATTTTAACCCTTTCCTGTGTTATGAAGGCTTTATGAAATATTGCTCCTCCTGAATTTGAAGAAAAGAGAGACAGCTTGAAACCTCAGATGTTCAGAGAAGAAGGTTGGGGGCAGATGATAGAGTGGCCTTTGGCTGGACTCTTCTTGTTTACCATAGACTGAACCACTCTTTCTTTCAAGAGGGACTGCATTTTAGGGGGATGCATTGGTTGAGCCAAGAGACCTTCTGCAGCAACTACCAGTTTGGAGTGGACAGAGAGAGAGCTGAGGAGGGTGTGAGGATGCCCTCCATCTTCAGGAAGAAGAGAAGGCGATCTCTGTCCTTGGACCCTCGGCCCCAGGGGAAAATGGGGGGGACTCTAGTCCCAAATTGTGATACTGGACTGTTGTTCCTGGTGGTCCTTGGCAAAGCATCCTTAAAGGGGCCCTATAAGCAGTCTCTGTCCATGCCCGGTGGTGAGAGCACTGGGACATGGAGAGAAGAGTGTCACATTGACCGGTCTGGGCGGTGCCACGTGTGACATTGGAAACACAAAGGTGGCAGTTGTGTTTCCTGGGGGTCTATGGTGCAAGGGGGACTCCTCTCTTCCCCGATGGACTCAGTATTGATTATATTGAAGGGTGAAAACTTGATTAAGGATCCAAATGGGTCTCGCTGGGGTTTGGTGGAGTTGGGTGGAGGGAGGAGAAATGTTTTGGAAGGTTTTCATTTCGAATTTTGTGTGTTTTTTTCCTTTCCTTTCTTTTCCTTTTATAGTAGTAGTAGTGTAATAAAGCTTTTTCTTTTGTTATTAAGTTTGGCCTGCTTTGCTCTGTTCTTGATCACATTTCACAGCATTTGATTGGTAAGTTGTATTTTCATGGGGCGCTGGCATTGTGCCAGCGTCAAACCATGACACCACCACATTCAAATGACAGGACTGTGAAAAACCAAGAATCTTTCATAAAACAACAGAGGCGTTTTCAAAGGACACCATTCCCCCTTTGCACCCTTTGTGGGTTCAAGCAAATTGCATCACATCTTTACAGAGACCAGCCCCACTCCTCACCACCTGGCAAAGCTGTGGATGAAGCTGGGTTTGAGCAGAAATCCAACACTGGCACCTGAGGCAGCAGCTGAGAGCATTTTAATTCAGCTACCACAAAAGAGCTGTTTACACTGGGCACTTTCCCTGTCACTCAAAAGCTGCACTCAAAGGAGCAGTCAGAGCACAGCAATATCCTCCCCCCATCCCCAGACCATCCTCCCAGCCTTCCAGGCAGGGCTGTGCTCGGCTTCTTCACATCCATGGCTGGGAGATGAGTTGGCTCATCTTCAGAGCCTGACTTCAGCCTGCTGCTAACATGTCCCTTCCCACCCTCCTGCCTCAACACCCAGCTCTACACTGTTCTTCCACCACAAAATCAGTTCTGTGCGAGCTTTTAGGCTCTGCTCAGCACTTGGGATGGACAAGCCTGGAAGGATTGCACTGGGGACAGCAAGGAGTGACAGTGCCTCAGGTTTTAGCTTTTATATTTTTCAGATTCTGAGCTGCTTTAGTGTGTATTTCTGAGCTTCATATCAGGGGATGCTGAGCTCTCTGCATAGAGCAGGGAGACAAAACAATTCCTGCTCCAGCTGGGCACCAAGGACAAATGATCCAAATCTCAGCCCAGGAGCACAAACACCGTGGGCTGGAGAGAGAAAAACAAGCAGGATGGGACTGCCTGGGCTAAAGCTGGAATGGGACAATGAACTCCAAGGTGCCAATGGAGCAGAACTGATCCCAGGGAGAGCCCCCGGGAGCGCTCGTGCATTTTGGGACCATTTTGGTTCATCTTGGATGCAGCCCTGGCTGGGCTCTGGTGCTGCCCCAGGTACATTCACTGAGTAGGGATTTTAATAAATCCCTATTTTATTCTTTAACTCTCTCCAGCCTCTGTTCTAGGTCAGCCTCTCAAGGCATCAGGAGAGGCTGAGAGCAGCCCCTCTAGTCCCCTGCAGGCTGCAGATACCATCCTGGTATTTAATATATAATCTGCCTCTGCTTTCTAATGCCCCACAAGAAATGTTACTGCCTCCCCTCACAGCTCAGCAGTGGAGAACTACAGATAAGGTATTTGGGGCAGCCCACTTGATTCTTAATTACCAGCAGGTAATTATGCATTTTAAGCCTTGTCAAGCCTCTAAAGGGAGGAAATTATGCCTTAAGTTTTAGCTTTCATATTTTTCAGATTCTGAGCTGCCTAGGGGTGCAGTTCTGAGCTTCAAATTAAGTGTTGGTAAGCTCTCTTCACAGAGTAGGGAGACAAAACAATTCATTTTCTAGCCTGGGACTAAGGACAACCAATAAAAGTTTCAGGCCCCAGACAATAAACAACATGGACTGAAGAGAGAAAAACAAAGATGGGACTTCATAATCTGAAGCTGTAATTGGACAATGAACTCCAATCTGCAAATGGAGCAGAAATTATAAAAGTTAGAGACCCCATGAGCGCTCGTGCACTTTGGGACCATTTTGGTTCACCTTGGGTACAGCCCTGGCTGGGCTCTTGTGCTGCCCAACGCGCATCCATTGAGGCCTTTTAATAAATCCCTGCTTTATTCTTTAGCTCTGTCCAGCCTCTGTTCTAGGGCAGCCTTCTCAAAGCATCACTCCCATTCAGCACGTGGGAGGTGCAGTTCCTGGCACAGACCAATCCCACACGGCTGAAGAACATCATGAGGGAAGGCACAGCGACACAGCCCCCACTGTGTCTCCTCACCACAGCCCATTCCAGAGCTGCCAGCAGCAGGTTCTCAGTGCTGCTGTTATCCTGTCTAGCCTGTGGTTCCTCTGGGAAGCACTGGAGATGGCACAGATGCTCCCCATGGGCATAGGACACTGCTCCTATGCCTGAAAGGGAGAGCAGGCCATGTGCCACCTGACTCGGAGGAGATCCATTTCCTTATTTGTCAGAAGAAAGGGTGAGACTGACCCCAAAGAGAGGCATTTTCATCCCCATTTCCCACAAACGGTGCTATCCTGTCATAGCCTTGCAGTGAATGCCCCCTGAAGAGGAAGCAAAGTCCTAAACCTGAGAGTTTATCTTTTTTACTGAGGTACTAAATAAACTGATATAGACAGTCACAAACACACACGTGCCCTTGCACCATCTCTCCTGGTTCCCCTTTATGTGATATTAAATATTTCTAGCCTGAGGCAAAAGACACTCAGCTCATCAGTTCAGCTCTGTTGAGCAGATCCCTTGTCTTAGGAGGAAGCAGTAGCTGAAATAATAAATGTTCTCCAAGTAGACCATAAAGCCATTCCAGCTGTCTGTGAGAAGCCCAAGGTGGAGTACAACCTCAGGAAAGGCTCCAAGGACATTGGACTCCACTGAGAACACACAGTGGAGTGGCTGCTGGAACAGATGCAACTCTTGTCCTTCTTCACATGCCTTATAAATGGCATTCCTTAGTGCCCCTGAAGTGGAGCTCATCTGCTCTCCCACCTTTGCCACTGCACACTGAACAAGCTCAGCTGTGCAGATGAAATGGTTCTGACATTGGGATATGCAAACCATCTTAAAGGAAAGCACTGATTTTATCAGAAGCAGCAGAGCTGTAATGAGCAGAGGATTTTAAAAGATCTGCATACACAGGTTTATCCTGTCTGAAAGCTTCCTGCCCCTAGGAGCAACCTGAGAGCCACAGCAAGGTCTGAACTCCAGTTTTCATCTCAGTGGGAATGGAAGATTTGTAAAGTGATCCATCTCAACAAACTTTCTGTGGCTTCAACACCTCCTTTAGAGTCAACAGAGAAAACCAAACACTCCCAGGGTGTGATTCCTGCTCTGTTTGGACAAACACTGAGGAGGAGGTGGACCACACCTCCAACTCCTCTGACTGTTTCTCCAAAGGAGCCCTAAGTGAAGTGCTCAGGTACACGGGTACACAGGGGCTGAGCACTGCCTCCTGACACACATCCCCCTCTCAGGATGAAGATATCCCTCTCTGCAGACTTCTGGAAGCTGTGCACGTCCTTCAGCTGCAAACTCAAGTGCTGCACCAGCAATGAGTGGCACCAGAGGATGCAGAGAGTCTCCAGGAAAGGGGGAGAAACACTTTACTGAAGGAGGTTTTGGAGGATTGAAGGAGACTCAGCTCAAGAACTTCAGGCAAGAAGATGCACTGCAGACAAGACTGACACAAGCTGGGCTAAGGTTGGAGAAACAGAGATGTGCAGATGGATCTGAGGCCACATTGACACAAAATGTGTGGGTAATGCCCAAAGCCACTGTCCTCATAAACAAGGAATTCCAGGAACAAAGAACTGTAGGGGTTTCACTGAATTGCTCCAACACTGGGAAAAGTTTTAGTCTCATTCTAGACTGTGACTTTGCAGCATTTCTAGCTGGGATGTAGGGACAGGGCCAAGGGCCCTGGCAGAGCCCTGGCAGGGATGGGACAGAAGGGTAAGAACCCACCAGGAGCAGAGATTGGATCAGTTCCTCCCTACAACCCTGGTGCTGCCTGGAGCCTTTATGTGTGTTTTGGCCTTTCATACAATAGCCTTTAATTCACTATTGGGACCTAAGGACAGCAGCTTGGGGGAGATATTTAGATAATCTGTGTAGCCCAACACTGCTCCTGAATGGAGCAGAATAAATCAGATTCCTGCCCCGGGCTGTGGTGTGAAAAAATCGTTAGCACAAATCCAAACCGTGTCAATCTTCCTTTAATTACTAACCCTGCCCTGCTGACACAATCGGCAGCAATCCTTCGACTGTTTGTGTTTACAGCCTCCAGCCCTTTGCCCAGTGGCAGATCCCACCCTTTTCCTGATATAAAAAATACCTTGTTGTTCCTGGTTTCCTCATGTCAACAAGGGAGGCAGAAGCCAAGAGGTTCCTGGTTTGTTTGTTTGTTTGCTTTTCCCTCATGTTTCAGTTTCAGTGTATTTTACAGTAAAAAAAAAATAAAAAATCAACATTTCATCCCTTTGTACTGTCCTACTTCAAAAAGCAGGAAGGCAGAGGAAAAGTACCAGAAGGAAAAGGATAGGTGCTGCAACATTGGCAATTTTTCTGTGTTTAAGCTAAATGGATCAATCCTTGCAATAGAGCACATCAGCCCAAATCCATTCCCCGGGGTAGATCTGGGCATTGTGCTCAGCAGGGGCCAAGTGTCTTTTTGGCAATCAAAATCAGGAGGTTAGATGAGCACAGGCATGGAAAAAACATCTTTGGGAAGTTGGGGTCATCTCCTTCCACTCACAAATCACACATTGCTTTGCTTGGTGTTTCTCCTTTCTTTCATCATATCATTGCCCTCAGCTGAAAAGCCATCAGCAGTTTTCCTGATCCTGCACCAGGATAAATAACAAGTCAGGAAGGGACACTGAAGACGTATTTTTCCAACTCAGTAACTGCCTGCAAAGATTGATCTCTGTGCTGGGAGTGTCCTCACCCTGGGAGAGTCACTTCTCCCAGTGGAGGCACCTTGTCTGTGCCAGAGCCAAGGTCCTGCTGAAGCAGCAGCAGTAAAAACTACAATTCATCCTAATTTATTGCCCTGGTGCTTAGGGACCAGCCCAGAGCAGCTTCCCTCTGTGCCAGGCATTGTATCAAACGAGGCATGACATTCCCAAACAAAAGGGGAAAGCAGAATAAGGAAAGGGAAAGCAGATAAAGGAAGAGGGAGAACTAATATAGAAGATATTCTGGGTGGATTGTTTTCCTCTCCTTTCTCCCCTGCTGACTGCCAGCTTCATCTCACCCACAAACTCCTCCCAGCTCTCACTAGGCATGTTCATCTAATTTTTGGAGAATGAGCAAAGAAATGCAATTTAAAGGGAACTGCAGCTAACCATACAGGAGTCTGTTCCTGCAAAGTGCTAAGAAAAACAGAAAGAAAGTCAGAAAGCAAGCACAAACCACAAAGGTGGAAATAGATTGATGTTTCCTTTTGGCTCCTGTTTTGGAGACACATTTTTCATATCAAGATTCCATTTCCACTTTTTGCTGTCAGCTAATGATTTCTAGTGGTGAACCACTGTTGAGTGCTGTGTATCTCTTTCCTCTGGCAAGGCCAGGGCTCAGCTCCCAGCCTGTCAGCTGCCCTGATTCCTGGGAATAAAAGGGGCATCTCTAGGGAGCTTCCTGCTTCCCTTTTTCCTCCATGGACATCTCCATCCCCACCATCCCAGTGTCTCCCCCAGGACACTCTCAATGGCAGGACACTTTGTGTTTCACACACCTTCAGGCTGCTTGCAGTGGTTTTCCCCTTGAGTTTTGAGCTTTGCACTCAGCAAGAAGAGAAACTCCCTTCTTGTCCAACCCTCAGAAGGCTGGAAGTGCTGGAGTGGCCTTGCTTACCTCTGGGGAGGGGAACTGGGATTTGTTTCCATCGACTGGGGCAACCAAGAGCATGTCCTGCAGGATGGTGGTCATGTGCTGGGCCATGACCTTCTGCTGCTCCACGCTGCAGTGGTTCTCCAGGGAGATGATGACGGGGTATGGTGAGGTCTGGAACAAGACAGCAACACACACCATCAGTGAACTCTGTGCTTTCACCACTCTGCAGCAATTGGTATGAACTCCATTTCTCTGGGAATGAGCGTGTCAACAGGAGGGGCTGATGTTCTCCTAAAGCAAGGATTTGTTAAAAATGGGATTTGTTAAAAATTTAACTGTGCAGTAGTTACTCAGATCTGTGCTGATGCCTTCCAGAGATGATGGTCCAATGGAGAAGGCACCAGGATAGGTCAGGACTGCCTCTCACAGACCTTCTGGGGCACTCCCTGTGCCTCCATTCTCTGCACTGTGGGCCAGAGCACCTTCCTACCCACCTTCAGAAGAAGGACTGGGAAGGGGGCTTTGAAATCACAGGGTTTGTTCAAACCCTTGAGTGATATCGATCCTTCCTCCATTCCTTCATAGGCCTGATCTGCTTCCCTGTGTCCCCCAGGTCATTTTGTGTGCTGAAGGCATTGTCATTATTGTCATTGTCACTCCTTTATGGCCCCAAACAAAACTTGGCACCAGCTCCCAAGTGCACTGAAGGAAAGCAGCAGAGTCCAGTGAGTCTGGACAGACCTAAGATTTTCAGAAGCCTGGTGCCATACAAGACTCCAGCCTGTTTTAAAGCAGAATAAAAACAGCCCTTCACATCCAAAACAAGCACATGGGTTCCTCTAAAGAGGCATCAAAGCCACACAAATTATGGGCTTGCTGGAGTTTCCCACCAGGTATGCTCAAGATTATGAGCATCATTTTCATTGTAGTGGGGTCCAGGATGCAGCTGTGCTGGCACAGGTTCAAACTCATCCTCAGATGATGCTCTCCCTGTGCAGCAACCCCCAGAAATGGATCTCTGGAGGAAGCAGAACATGGATGCTCAGACAGAAGGACACATCTTGTCCCCATGAGGTGAAGCTGTCATTGCTTCTGCTCTCTGCTGGGAGGGAAGAGCTCTACTGCCAGTCCTGGGTTGTGCAGCATGAGAAAAATCCCTCATCCTTACTTTGAATGCATAGTTCTTGATGGCCTTAATGACATCGCTGAAGAGGATCTTGGAGGTGAGAGTGTAGCCGTGATAAATGACGGGCTCTGAGTTGGGGCCATCCCAGCAATCCAGCTCCACACAGCGACAGCCTTTGGTCAGGGCTCTGGAAACAAAGAAGGGACCTGGTTGGGTTCTACACCTTCTGCTCCATCTCCAAGTGAGGGTACATCAGGCACAGGCACTGCCCAGGAAGACTGGAAGGAAGTTCAGGAGCAAGGGAGAAGAAAGGAGCTTGGAAAAAACAAGGAATCAGATATAGGATGGGATCAGGTAAAATCAGTGTCAGCAAAGAGAGCTCAAGGTTGAGCAAGGAAAGCACAGAAGGATCTGAGAAATAAGGTAGTGAAAGTCCAAGGTAGAATTATCCGAAGAATAAGACAGTGAGTGTCAGATGAGAAAGGACACTGATGACTGTGCCCCAAGTCTTTCCCCAAAGATAGTGAAAAGAAAATCAAGAGTGGCAGTAGAAGAATGACAATCAACCTCAGAAGCCAGGTCACAAAGCTTAGATTACATGATTTCTTCATCTAGATCTGATATGACATGAGGGATGAATCTTCAGAGCTGGGAGAAAGGGAGGGAGGGAGCGATGGGAACTCCACCATAGCTGAGGAGACTGCTGAGAGCCAGTTTCCTAAACCAAGTCTACAGACCAAATTTCCATGTGAAATTCCTACCTCTACATAGCCATGCTCCCATTTCAATCTATTTTCAAATGTAGATTCCCCCACCATCTATCTAGGACGTGATCTCGTATCTTTTGCAGTAATTCCCTAAATATTTCAGATCACACAATTCCTTTGAATCATTGCAATAAAATCACAGAATGGTTTGGGTTGGAAGGGACCTTAAAGATCATCCAGTTCCACCCCCTGCCATGGGAAGGGACAGCTTCCACTAGACCATGTCACTCAGAGCCCTCTCCAACCTGGCCTTGAACACTTCCAGGGATGGAGCATCCACAGCATCTCTGGGAAACCTGCTCCAGAATCATGCGATTTTTTTTTTTTTTTTTTTGGTGCAGCCCAAACATACATCTATAATTTTAAGACTCTGTAAGATGAATTCAAAGAGCTGCTGAGAAACAACTTGTGCCAGATTTCACTCTCAGCACTTTTGACCTTGTGACTCCAGTCAGCTGTTGCTCCTGAGAATGAGGCAAGTCATAAACAAAGGCAGAATTGCAGCCATTGACTGGCTCACAAGGAAACACCATCTCACCTGATAGAAACAAGGAGTAAAGCAATGTGGGTGTGCAATTACTGAAGGTCACTGCACCCACCTGGCCAGGAGATGTTGTTAAAGGCAGATATAGGCAACACCTAAAGCTCTGTGCAGGGTGTTGTGGGAATATCTGAGATGCTAAAAAGGCACCAGGTGCAAGTTCATCTAATCTCTCACCCTGTTCATATCCCAACTCATTTTTTTTTTGATTGCTCCAACTAGGACTCTCCAAAATAAACCCCATCATGGTGTGGGGACAGTCCCTGCCATGGGCCTCTCCCAAAGGCAGTACAGAGCATAAGCACCATGACACTATGAATTGTTTTGGCTCCTCCCAGACCTGCAGCTCTGTCCCAGGAATCTTTCCATCTTGTAAGCTCCTTGCACTCTCCTGTGCCATATTTTGGGGAATGCAACACCCCCTCAGCATCATGCTTTGAAAACACCGGGCCAGAGGGTGTGACTGCATGTGACTGCAGATACTGCTTCCAAAAGTAGTAATTATACATCTTACACTCAGGTGGACACCAGATGAGACTCAGGTCAAAGAGCTGTGAAAAGGAGGGCACAGCCAACCTGGTTTGGAAAGAGCTCACTCTGGAAACATGGGCCAGCCCATATTACCTGGTCTGGTGGAAGATTGCTTCTTGATCCCTTGCATCCATCAGCACAGACACTCATGTCTTCTGAAAGAAAGAGGTTAACCTCCCAAACACACACATTCTTTACCTGATATAGGCCTCTGTGCTGCTTGGCCCTGTGATCTGGTCTTCCATGAGATAGGTGTTGTGTGAGGATGACACCAAGTAGTGACTGAGAGGTTGGGTCATGTCCTGGTAAACTTTCCGGTGGGAGGGGTTGAATATGTTCCCCTCATCTGACAGCAGGTACATCAGGAAACCATCCTTGGTCATGGCGTTGCCCCTCTTGGCTGCCAGGTAAACAGACAGAAAACCCCACACTGAAAATGAGATGCCACCAGGTCGTGCCACCACCTTCATCTTCACCAAATGTGCTCCCCAGGTAGTCAGTAAAAGCAAAGGCATCAATGCTCTCCAGACAAGGATGACACTTTCAGCTGCCTGAAAATGCTTTTAAAGCCCCTTCCCAAGTACAGCTTTTTATGACACTTATGTGGCTTTTTATTACACTTTACTTGTCCTTGATAACATCTTAAAAGTGTCAAAGACAGACCTTACCTCATCTGTCTCTAGCGATTTACAGCACAAAATCTCTGTTTGAGCATTTCAAGGTTTTTTTGCGCCAACCCAGAGAAGCTGTCAGATGTCTAAACACAGCCAGATAAATCCTGTCTAGATTATCCAGTAAACAGGATTTGACAAAGGGAAATACAAAATTACTCCCCATTTTGAGGGACTGAACTCAATCTCAGCCTAATCCTAAAGCCTGACAATTGCAAAGCCTTGCCCCTCTCCTGAAGGAATAGCAGGACAGGAGGAACCAGCCCATGATTCTGAGCTGGCTCCTGGAACACATCCTCCAAGGTGCTCCAGACTGATGATTCAGTCTCAGTCTGAGAGTGTTTCTAACCACACAGACATCCAGTGTCTGCCTCCTAAACAGCTGTCACCTCCTTGGCCTTTACTCAGAGATCTCATCTGCAGGTGGCTTTAAATGTGCCCACCATCAAGGACTTCTTCCTCCACTCCAGCTTCTGGAGAACACAAATATTGCTAAATTATCAGCCTTCAAAAGCCACACGAGGTCTTGACATCAGAATAACCCATCTGAGTCTTTCCCTCGAGATTTTCTTCATCCTCCAGTCAAACCTGTATCAATCCCTCTCCTGCTGTTCAGTGCACACAAAATAAAATTGAAGAGGGAGATTTCCCAGCCTCTCCCCTCCTCTCCTCTCCTCTCCTCTCCTCTCCCCATGCTGTTAATGTTCCCCTAGGAGATTGGTGTTTTAGAAGCAGCTGTGGGGAGAAAATAATGCACACGACTGCAGGGAAAAAAGCAGCAGCAATGCAATTCATAGTTCATCAAAAAAACCCAAGATTTTGAAGCAAACCAGCCAGGGTTTTCAACCTACCTCTTTCGTTGGGCTCATATCTCTGAATTAAGGCAGGGGCAGCAATAACAGCATCTTCTTCCTGCTGCACCTCATAGAGAAACCTCACCAGGTTCTGGCAGGACATGAACCCTTCTGGGTTCGAGTACATTTGGAAGATGCTGTCTATTTCCTTCCTTTCTGTCAGAATCTTGTAAAATTCCTCTATCTCATCATCCTCCAGAGCCTCTGTTTTGGACTTGTCACAGTGCTGTAAACGTAGAGGGGAGAAGGAGTGAAAACCTTCTTTCCTTCTGGCATAGGCCAGCCGTAATCTGCACCAGGGCTACACAACGCAGAACACAAAATAATTGCAAAGAGTTACTGGCCAGCCAGTGAGGAGCACATGGTCAGTGACAATGGTTCTCATTGACAAGGCCAACAGCCATAAAACAGTTCCACATATTAATATTTCTACATTATCAGTGTGCTCAAAAGCACCAGCCTTGAGTTCCAGCACTTGGTGTGCTTCAGTCAGGACAGCTCAAAATAATCCAAGCACAAATCAAGGGTCAAAAGAAATGTAATGCTTAATCTCAGGGGGAATAAAGGGAAACAATTGACTCTATTGAATAATGATAGAGAGTATAGCCAAAAATCCAGGAAGTTAAGTGAAAAGAACCCTCCCTTTGGCCTTAGTGGCTCAGACCTCAAGAGGCTGTCAAGACTCAGAATGGGACTGTGCAAAAATGGCATCAAAAATAACTTTAAACCCCCACACCTGCTAAACATGTGTGTGTTAAGGTATGAAAAAATCCACCTCTCCATGGAAATTTTCCATTCTTATCCAAAACAAAATCCCCACAGATTTCAAATCAGATATAATCTTCCCACAAGGAACTGTAAATCAGATTCTCCATCTTCTTCTGGGGTTTGAACTTTTCCAGTAGATACCATCTGTGACAGAACACCACAGCCAAGGACTTGATTGACCATGAAAGATGGGGAGCTTGAGATATACATATTAATGTCTCCATAAAGGACACAGCTTTTCCAATAACAAGTTTTTCTAGTTTATTTTAAATACTCCCAGGTTCAATTTTTCATCAGAAACAACTTTTTTTTTTTTTTCCTCTGGCAAATCCTGATATTAATTTGTTGTTTGTTCCTAGCAGAATTCTTCAACTTGTCAAACCAGAGGAATTAAATTGCTTTCCATCTTTGATCCCCTGTGACAGAGCTATTTTCCTGTTTTTTTATGATGAAAATGCCTGTCTTAGTTTAACCAGCAATCACACTAATCTCAGCCTAGCTCTGCCAGTGATCTCAGCAATGGTCATAGTGGCTCTGGCAGTGTCCCAAGATGATAAGGAGGGACTTTCATCCCCTGCAAATCTTTCACTATCTGTTTAAGGAGCACATATAAAACCAAAGAACATTATCATGATGCCTAGCATTTCACAAACTGAAGTGACAGAAAAAAAGAGTTCAACTTGTCCTGACTTCAGAACCTGCTGGGTAGAAGCTACAGGTTCATCTCACGGATGGGACAACCTGTGACATGCTCAGCACTACAAACAACTCCAAAATAGGTTTGAGAGTTCAAGAATTGCCTTTTCCTCACTGCCTTCCATGTCTATGATCCTGTGCTGTGGCTCTGGCAGATCCCTCAAGCTGAGCTGAGCATGATGCTTAGCAACTGCAAAAGGAATATAAAGAGGGAAAGCAGCTGGTGGAGACAGCAGGGATGTTGTGAATTACAAACGTTCTTTTCTTTAAGACATGACAGGGAAAATGGCAAGATATTCCTCCTAGAAAACTGTCATTTTAAGTGGTGTGCCTGGGGAAGATTATTCACTAGTTGTCATTAAAGGCTGTGATGAAAGCAGGGCAGTAGCACTGGCACCAGAATCAAGACATCCAGGACAGATCAAATGCATGGTATAAAAATGGGTTCTTTCTGCTTTGGCTGCAGGAGGACCAAATGAAAGAGAATCTCAACCCAAAATACTGTGTTTTACCTCCCATGTATGCATCACAAGCCATGAGTTCTGAATAACCCTTGGCCTGCCAGCAAAAACACCTTTCTGATGCATCAGAATGAATATTCAGGTTGAAATGAAGTGAGCAATGACAGGAGCTTTGCATAATTTCTGGTTGCTCTGCAACACATTTTACACCAGCGTCTCAAACCTAAATGTGGACGCAGGGTCATGGGATGAGAGGCAAAAATAATGTGAGAACATGCCCTGCAGCCCCCACTTGAGCCCCTGATCACCCTTCCTTCCTGTGACTAAATGAAGAAAAACTCTCTGAGGCAGAAAAGATCACCCTTTAATAGGCTGTAATGCCCAAGTCCATCGAAGCTGAGGCAGGATGCAAACTGAAAATGTAATTGCTTTAAGAGCAACACAGACCCTTCCTGGAGGCAAATCAGCCCTCAGGAGATCTGAATTAACCTCCAAAGAGCCTCTCTTTCCAGTGGCTATACAGGAAACTTAAAAATTGCTTGCTTAATGATGGTACTTCAACTAACTCCCTGCATTTCCATGAGTTGAATCAAAGTTTAGCAATTACTCGGAGTCTTTACGCAAAAAGGATTAATTTCATCAAACTTCCTCTCCTAGAGCTCCCTTGTAACTATTGTGACAGTAGAAAAGCTCCATTAAATAAGAGGAGATTGTGACTCTAAAATAAAGTAAAATTAAAAAAAAAAACAAAAAAAAAAACAAAACCAAGAGTGTTTTTTTCAGGTTGTTGATGTGTGAAGATGTGGGAGTGATTAATCTCCTATATGTGAGATGTATCCTTTGGGATGAGGAGATTCTGGTGCCTACTGGCTTCACCTGCACAGATTGCAGGGGAAGTGTGGGCAACTACTGCCAGTGGAGACATGCACCTCAGTCCGTGGATTCCCAGCCTTATTTCCACTCTTCCAGGATCTTTCTGGGCAGGGAATAAAGGATGGGATCCACCAGCCAGAGTGGGCAGTACACCTGGAATATTCTGTGAGCTGAAATTCTTTAAGATGTGCTGATGACCTTCCCCCCTGGTTCCTGAGGAGCTGTCTATAAAGAGAGATGTCTATAAAGCAAAGACAAGGAAACTTGGACCTCCTTTGGGGGAAGGCTGCTCACACAGAGGAGCAGAACTCCTACCCAGTGCCCAAAACCACCCATGTGTTTACCACTGATCAGAAAAAAAAACATTTCTGAAACTGCACACACATTAATTCAGACAGGATGGAAGGCTGGAAATTATCCAGATGTTTTATCTCACCTCAGCAGGATGGATTCTCTAGAGAGAAACCCAAAGCTTAACAACTGAGAAATTTTCATACCTTTCTTGTCTTCTGATAGGCTCAGCCAGCAAGCTGAATCTTGAGAATTTAGAAGTGTACATCCTTGACCAGATTAAATATGCCTTGGGAGTATTAAATCAATCAGATTAGTCCAGGCTTGGGTGCAATGTTGTGTATCTATCATGAATCTGGAAAGGTTTTTTTCTTAATTGGCACTTCAATTTTTTTGTTTGTTTGCTTATACCTGTCACTTTGCACCCCCTTTGAGAAGGTGAGGATCTGGGTTCACAATTGTAACCAAACAAAATTCAGCCAGACTTAGGCATTGACATGCAGCTGTGGCTCAAAAAACTCCCCAAACCCCTGGGACTTCAACTTTGTTACCCTTTTTCTTGTATTATCTGTGTTTGCATCTCATCTTCTGCTTTGTGGCAGAAGTAGCCATCAATTATGAAGAGAGATCTTAACACACCCTCATCCAAAGCATTGTGCTGGCCTAACTTAGTGGGAATCAATTATTCTGAGCAATAAATTACTGAGCACCAAAACCTGAGAGTCCTTCCTTGGTACAAGAAGGGAAGCCAGGAATTCACTTTAGGTGAGGTCTCCAACCCAAGCTGAAAGCTGTGGGACACCTTGACCTCAGCCAACAGCAAACCCTTTTTCTGCTTGCTCCCATTACCTGGAAAATCTTCTTGGCATGGTAGTCATCGACTTCAATGTTCACTTCTTTCAGGAAGTCTTTGAGCTCTTTCAGGCTCATCTTGTTGTCTTTGTTTTTGTCAGCTTTCCTCAGGCAGGTGTGAATCCAGCTGCAGGGGGATGTAAGGAAATCTTTCCAGGTCAGTGCCTAGCCTGAACACCTAAATACCTTCTGCTGCACATAGCAGGGGAGAAATCCTCTTCTAAAGGCTCTGAGCCACCTCTCCAGCTGCTGTAAATCAGCGTGGGCTCCCCGAGCAGCTGACACCACCTCACCTTCTGCTCCCACAGAGCCGTGGCAGAAGGAAAATGTGCTGTGATACAACTGATCGTGACCTGGGAGAAGCTTTTCACCATCTGGCCAAGGCTGGAGCAGCTCTCTTTACCCTGTAGGAGTTTCTGGCTGCAGCCAGAAACAGTTTGATTTCTCTTTTATGACAGAAAGTACATTCTGCTCCAGGCGGTTAAAAGGGCATAAAGGAAAGAATGAAAAGAGCTCCCAAGAGAAGCTTGGTAAACTCATTGTCATGGATTTGTTCAATATTCAACGTGTCGTGGTGAACACTGAACTCCAGAAGAAGTATCAATAATAATTTTTGAACTCACCTTCAGCATATTTTTAGGGATTTCTACCTATATCTGCTAAGAATTTTGTTGTGAGTGGAATTAAACCAAACTCTGTGAGTCTTGCCTTCTTCCCCTGAAGAAGTGCACAGGGTCTGTTACTGTCTGTACTGTGATAATATTTTGTAAGAGCTTGGGTTTTAATCACTTTAGTGTATCTATGGATCAGGAGTAACTGCTGTAAGAATGATCTCCTTAACGTGATGTCAGACAATTGAACTGGGACTTCCATTTTCTTCCAGTCTCTAAAATCATGTTAGGCAGTTGAGGTACATTGCAGTTTTAAACACCAAAAAAACCCCAAGCTTTTTGCATCATGGAACTGACTGTCTAATCTGCTTTACTGTCAAATAAGAAAGGTCATCCAGAAAAATATCTACTTTTTAACAGGAAAAAAAAATGACCAAAGTAAGAATTTGATCTCCAGTAATAACTTTCCATGTCTCACATAGGAAACAATGCTTCAAACTCATTCCAGAAAAACTTCCAAAAAAAAAAAAAAATGCCCAATCTGAATGCTAACCAGAGTAAAGCTCAGAATCAGCAAATACCAGCTGAGGCATATGGTGCTGTACCATTTAAACTGGGCCTTTCAAAATGACCCCAAAAAAGGGCATTAACAGCCTTAGGGTCTGTTAAACATAACCCTGAATCTGTGTTTACCAGAGCTACCCCTGCACTGAAGTATTTCCTAGTGATGGAGATGTGTGTAAACTGTTAGTGAGTATTGTTTGTCTCATGGAAAGCTGAACTTTCTGACTTTAAAAATCTTGGCAGGTGCTAAGCAATGACCTCACCCCACATCCGTCCTAGCCTGGTAATATTAATATTCCCCTTCTTTAGACATGAAAACCAAAATAAAGAGAGGCTGCACTTCCCAAGGACGCTCCAGAGCCCTGAACCAGGGTCTGGCTTGGACTGATTCTTCCCAGAAAATCCAGTTTGAGTCATGAAGCTCCCATGAGCAGAGGATGCTGTGCTGGGAGCACACCACACCCACCCCAGGGTGCAAAACACCCCCTCCACCAGCTCTGCTCCAGAAAGGGTCTGTCAGACTGTCACCCTGGTGTCACCCACTCACACCTGACCCTGCACCTTGTGTCCCCTTCCCAGCCTTCCCTAAAAACAACAGGCAGGAGAAACACCCAACTCTGGTGAGCCAAGAGGAAATCCAGTCTGCCACAGACAGAGGTGAGCAGTAGGGGTGGAGAGAAACTACTCTTTTGTGCATAGAAACTACTAGGTTTGTGCTAACCACTGCAAAAAAACCCACATTTTTAAAAATTTCCTCCAATAATGAGCACCCAGAGGTCATGCACATACTCAAAGTCCTCTGTGGAAGGCAAAATGTGGGCAGCAAATGCATCTGCAAAAGAGTATGCCCAGGTCCTACCTGTTAATGGAGGATGCTTTTCTCTTAGAGCCCTTCCCAGGAGGCTGAGAAATGCAGGAGGGAAATCAGAGAGCCCAAGAAGAGCCCAGGCACACACACTGGGTCCTCTTGCTGCAAGGACAAGCAGCAAAGGGAGAAAAAAGGAGAGACAGATAACTGAGATCTCAGTAAATAGCAGCATTCTGGCCCCAAATACCCAAACTCCCCATCCATCTGGATCCCCTCAGCTTTGGGAGAGCTTAGAGGAGCTGGATGAACAAAACACTTCAACTGAAAGTCCTCTCATGTGGTACAAACACCATTTTTCAATCCTGGCTGTGGGTCTCCCTTTCACCTCTTGCCACTCTGTGGGCCTGAGTGCACTAGGAAGCATCTGCTCCCATTTCTGTATGCATCCAGGGAGAGCCTGCCTCCTGCCTCTTGTTTTTAGAGGCTATGCCAGCTCCAGGGATGAGTTTCAGTCATCCCTCTTTGGTTTCTATCTGGCAGACATCCCATGAATGTGCTCAGAACAGAAATGCTGCAGAACTTCTGGTAAGTGCTTTCAAACCAGAAGAAAAACTCACACATAAACCCCAGAAGCAAAGCAGACAGTGCCACCCTGCTCAAATGAAAAGTCCTCTGTATTTTCTGGTCTAAAGTCTTCCCTGCACACATACCTGCAATATTTGCTAAACAACCTATGCCAGCCTGCTGCAAGGTTGAATCTGAGGCTTATTAAAACAGAACTTTGTGTATAAGAACATCAGACATGCTCATCAAGCATCTGGGAGTTTTATCTGTGTAGGAATATAGGACTGGAAGAATACATAAGACACTGATTCCAGTCCCTTTCTATCACAGGCAACTCTACTGAATTCCAAACTGAACGAGCCCCATCTGAAAGTAGCAGAGTTTGTGCTTTCAGTCCTTGATTTCAAAAACTTGCACATTCCTTACTTGTTTTGCAAGGCTTTGGGAGGCTGAAAAAGATACCCTGCAAGGCAATTCTCCAGTCATGGGGGACAGGCAGGGGACACAGCACATCTCATGTCCTGACTCTTCCCCTTCTGTGCTCACAGATGCTGAGAACACTCCTGAGGTTTAAGGAAGATCTGAGCAAGCCCACACTGCCAAGCAAACCCAGGGAAGGCAGACTAAATTTAAAATCCCAGGCTTTAATTAAACATCATCAAATTTCAAATGAGAAATCATGCTGTTCTGTAATTCCAGGTTACGTTAAATGGCCTGAGACAAGCCCAGATTGGAAGCCAGCACTGCACAGTAATTACTCTTCCAGAAATATGGTTTGCCTACCCACCCTATTTAGCTTCAATTCTGCTTTCCAAAGACAGAAAGGCACTTTTCCATGCTGGAAATTTACAGCCTTCTTCCTTTGCAAATGTCATTGTTATTTTTCCCCCCCTTAAAAATCTTGTCTCTTCTTACAGGCAAGTTTTTCAGCAATATATTTAACTTGATATGCTCCAGGGACAACTTTCTGTAGCCCAGATTTTCCCCTACACACTGTGGGGTGACCTTACAGCCCTGTAGAGCTTGAAAAGCCATCCAAAAAAGACACTCATAATGCAAGAGACAAACAGGACATCCCAGGCACATCAGAGCTAATGGAGTCTGATTCCTTTAAGTGAACAGCACTGTGGCTGTGAAAATGCTTCTCAGACTTCAGAGAATCCACAGAAGAGTAAAGCCTAATGAAAGCTCAGCACTTATGCACCATCTCCTTCTCCACCAGTACATTATTACCCAGCAGAGAACCCACATGGAGTGAAGACTTAACTGAGGCCAAGACCTCCTGGTGCCTTCCTGGTGAGCTCCAGCTTTGTGATTTTTCCCAGCTGAGGATTCTGCACCTCCCCTCCTCTCTGATGTTTGGTGCCAAACAAGTCATGAAGCCCACCCAGCCTTCTCTCCCCAAGAGTGCTATCTGTTTGCCTCTCTGACAGCTGAATAGCTACCTTTGGGAAGCTTAAAGGACCCTAATATTTTACAATTACTGTGGCTCTGTCAAATCAAAGTGGAATCAGCCAACAGCTTCAGATGCCATTGTCATAGTTCAAATCCATCCAAAACTGCACCCACGTATCTCCTCTCTTTTTGTACATGAGACCTCTGTTTGCAAAGCAATTTATTGATGAAATGCAGCCTCAGGGAAAATTCCCTGTGAATTCAGCAGAGCCAGGATTTCACCCAATAACCAACCCCTCTCCATTTCATAATGAATTCGCTCTCCTTTCCTGCTCTGTGCCTTTTCCTTTCTGATCTCTGCATTGGCACTAGAGCAACTGCAGTTTTTTTCAGGGCAAAACTTCCTCCCATGCTGAGGCTAATAAGGAGTAATTTCACTCAAGTCAGTGGAGCTACCCTGGAGTAAATTTGGCAGTGAGAAGAGGAGAATCAGTTCCCTCTCCTTGTATTACCGAGAAACACGGTAAACAGTGCGGGCTTTTCATGCCTTGCCAAGAAGTGCCTGTCCTGGAGTTTACTGCAATGCAAGTGAAACAGACCCCTGAAGAACACAACAAAATAAATGATTGTTTATCTGGAGCTCCATGAAAGAGGGAATTCTTTGCTTAAGGAGCCACATTAAGCCTGACTCCACTCTTGCTTGGTATCATTGTAAAACAGTGGGGGAAAGCACTGGAAACCAGGGAGCTTGCCTGGGTGCAAAATCAATGCAAGAGAAAACCCAGTGCCCAGGGCCAATAGGGAAAAAAGGAGGTTAGTCTACAGTCCCCACCCACATGGAAAGACAAGTGCATCTTTGTCCGAGATTAATCACTTTATAAGGCAAAGGATACTGTTGAAGTTTCTGTTTCTGGTTCATGGAGTTGCTGTGGGCTATGATTTTCCCAAGGCCAGCAATCCAGTGGTTGGCATCGTCCTCTGAACTCGCAATGAGGTCCAGGTTTTTCCGCTGGTCTTTGAAGATGATGGAAAAGCAGCGATACTCTGGGACATCCTTGGCGTATTTTTCCATACCTTCTGTTTTATGGCCTGACCTCACATCCCGGATATCTTCAATGGAGACTGTGGAAAGAAAGCAGAGCCTGCTGTCAGCAGGGGTTCAGTCAGCCTTATCTCTGCTTGGTGAGGGATATTAAAAAATTACACTTTCTCCTTTTCCTGAAGCCTCTGGAGGGTTCCCTTCCCTCTCCCCGCTTCCCCAAGCTTTGGTACTAAAGAAAACTCAACTCAAAAGGACCAGAAAGAGCAAGAAATCTTAAAAAGAAAACCTCTTTCTCCATGTTCTTTCTTTAATATAGAAATAGAATATGCCATAGGTACTGTGATGTCCTGTTCATGAGACACAAATCACAGCCAGGAGTTTGGTTCCAAGTCTTTGGAGCACCCCTGACTTGAGCACCCCTTTACTTATTCCCCCTGAGCATGGGGAGAGTGGAGCTGTGCCTCCCTGTGAACTTCACCCCACAGGAAAATCCTAAAAGCACTGAATGGTTCAGGTTGGGAGGGACCTTATAGATCATCCAGTTCCAAAGCCCTGAAATGGACAGGGACACCTTCCACTAGATCAGGTTGCTCTGAGCCCCATCCAGCTGGTCCAGAACAATTCCAAGGATGAGAAGTCCCCAGTCTCTCTGGGAAAAGTAAGAGGTGACTTCAGTAAGAGGAGGGTAAGGAACAAAACTGTCCTTCTTTAGGTTGCAAAAATACTGAGAAGGTAAAATTTAAGATCCCATCTGTTCCTCTCACTCACAGTAGTGCAAATTAAGGAGGCAAAGACCAAAGCTTCTGAGCAGTCTGGTGTGACCCATACTCCATCCTAAATCCTGTCAAGTGTAGAATTTATCCTCCTTGCTGTAAGAAATCAAAACACTGTTTTCAAGATCATCCTTCCCCACTTCCATCTCTACTCTTCAGCTGGTGGAAATGAACCCTGAAGTTGCTCCAGGTTTGCAAAATGCACACACAAGACAATCCAGAAGGAGCAATGCATGAAGAAATTTTGATTAAACAAATACAAGTAACAGAAACAACCCTAAAATGCTCTTTAGAGCAGCCAGTGCCCTCAAACTGGGCTGAAATCAGGCGAGCTCCCAGCAGCACCCACAGCCTCTTTCTGTCTTTCATGGGTCACTTCATACATCTACAAAACACTGACACAGGTTTCCCTGAGTTGTGGATGCCCCATCCCTGGAAGTGTTCAAGGCCCTCTTAGATGGGGCTTGGAGCAACCTGGTCTGGAGCTTTGTTAGAAAACAGTGCATGAGTACAAAATACCCCCAAAGTTTAGCTGAATAGGAGAACCTTGCCTTTAAACATCCATTTCACCATTAAAATGCTCAGTTCATTCAAAGAACTGAGAAAGACTGTAGAAAGACTGTAGAAAGACTGTAGAAAGCACTGTAGAAAGACCCAACTCAGTATCCACCTGCACATTTTTTGCATGGCTGCCTTGGGATTATCCAAAAATCATCAGATGCTCATTAGAGGTTTGAAAACTCCTTGTTTTCCCACAGCAGCCATGATAATCAGCTGCTGGGGAAAAAAAAAAAAAAAACTGCAACAAACCATCCAAAATTTCAGTCTTCAAAAATCAGTGACTTTCCAAAAGCAACACTTAACATTTGCTTCAAGCTCTCACCAGCTGCTGGGGTGGTCAAACACCTTCCACAGCACTTTGCTGGTTTGGTTCCTATACAAGAACACACCATGAGGAGCTCCCAGGAACTGGGAAAGCTTTTCCCTGACAATTATGAGCTGTTATCTCTGTGTGGTCTTTGATTATCACTTCACAAAGAGCAACAGTTGATCAGCTGAGGGGAGGGGAGGAAAAGGTTGGGTTGGGATGGGCTGCTGTGGAATTATGTTATCTGGCCAATTCACCTTCAAGAGAAAGTTTAAGGGTTTGAGTACTAAAACCAGCTTAAAAACAGAAAAGGGCTGGAATTCCCCCGCAGCTGGGCCTTCCTGGTGATCTTGCCCTTTAACCAGGACATTAATCAAATTATAGTGGTTGTGCCTAAGGTGGAATTTCATCTTTAATGTAAAGAATCTTATTATGTTTGGCCAGATTCAGTTCAATCAAGAAGTCTAAAGTTTATTTAGGTTTCTTTTATAGCCAGTGGGAAATAAAGCAGCTTTTGGAACACAGCTGTTCTGTCCTACTGAAACAAAAAATTTCAGGGTAAGATAAGTTATACCCTTAATCCATGGCTACAGTGGAGCCTTGACCAGTAAGGAAGTGCAAGCTGGGCACCTCATATGCAGAGTGTCCTTAAGTATGGAATTCTCCTCCTCTCCAGATCTCTTCTGCTTATGGCAGTGAAGTGGAAGGATCATCCTGTTATTCCTCTTCACCTGCCAGCTGCTCACCACTGCTTGGCTCACAAGAGTTATTGTCCTGCAGAATGGCTCCTTAGTCTGCTTGTGCAATCAATCCCTAAACTTCGGGTTGGCAATGGCCTCGTGTTTCCGAGACCAGAAAATCTGATGTTAAATATTGGAAATTAGAATGGATTCTTTAGAAACCATTACGTGGCTGCATGAATCCACTGGAAAAGAGAGCTGTGTGGGAGGAAAAAAAAGATTGAAAACCTGTGTCTGGAAGGGCTGCCTTGATCTTTTCAGGGTGTGCTAAGATGGAGATAAAAGAGCTCCTCAATACAGAAAGGGTCTCAGGAAGGCTGAAGAGCATGACCAGTGTCTATTGTAGTCACACAAGAGAGAAGGAGAGAAACTATCACCACAGGAACTGTTAAAATGTGGTGTAAGGAAGGACAGTTTTTATAGATTTCCATAGCTTGGTTGTGTGTACTGTTTTCATCTATCAATAAAACAACTGAAGCCAAAGGACTCAGCCCAAGCCATCTGCTAAAGTTATCTCTTTTCTGGAAAATCTTAACCCAGCATGAGTACTTTATCAGCTGCTCCCAGGCAGCGACTGCACTCTATTAGGAGTCCCAAACTGTGTGTTCAGCTGAGCTATCTGCACGGAGAAATCAAAAATAACTGGGGCACAGAGATGTTTCACAGCAGAGGAACACTCACAGCAAACAGCCATCAATCACAGCTCCCTGCAGCCTCCCTGCTCCTTCCCCATCACGCCACAGCGGGGAGATAACCACAAGCAGAAGAGAATCTGGAAAGTTTGCATCTACTTCTGAGTGTTTGCGTCTGCTGAAGAGGAGGTTTGTAGAGAGCCCAGAACATGACGTGCAGCACAAGGAAGCCTGTGCTCCTCCTGACCTCCAGACACCGACTCACACAGGTTACACCCTGGTCAGCCTTCCTGGCTGCTCTGGGGGCTGCTCAGACAGCCAAAGGCTCCCCACTGGCATGGACACACAGCAGCCTTCCCTGGAGCCAGTGGAATTCCTCCTGTCTGAACTACTCTCAGGGAGATGTTGAGAATTTTCTTTCTAGCCCTCTTTTCACTTTTCATCACTGGCTCCTGCTCTTGTGCTTCTCCCTTGCTGATTTTTTCAGCCCAGCACCCTTCTCCTTTTCACCCCTGGCATCAGCAGGCAGGGATGACTCAGGCCCTCAGGATTCTTTTGACAGCCCATGGTATTTTCAAGCAACCAACATGTAAATTTTGGGTATCTCTCTTGATTTGGATTTCTCTTTTCATGGCTTTCAAGGAGCTTGGTGTTACATTTGCAAACTCAGCTCCTCATGCAGAAGGAACCTCTTAAAGGAATTCAGCTGGGTGATCTTTAAGATCCCTTCCAACCCAAGCAACTCCATGATTCTGGTGTAGAAGAGCCAGAAGGATGAGCCTGACAACATTCCTAATGATGAAAGCACTTGTCAGAGAGGAGCCCTGGCCTCTCCATCTCTTCTCTCATCACTGTTCCACAATTGAAATTGTGCTGGGAGCACGAGGAGTAAACTCTTTGCTAATCCCAAGGAATAGAGGGAAAGGAGGAACAAAGGCAGGCAACAATCCCTGTGTTTTTCTCCTTCTTGACAGGCAGCCCTTTGAGATGAGACATTTTGTCAAGAGTATTTGTCAAGAGAGAAAATAAAAAACTGAACCTGCACCTCCTGCAAACTGCTGAGCACGTGAAGGACAAGGACTGGCAGGTGTTTGTCCTTTCTTGTGCCTTGGCTGATGAAATGGGAGGAGGGACTGTGGGAACCCAGGACATCCCTCTGGCTGCCCTGGCTGTCTCCAGACCCTGGCAGGGGGCTTGGAGACCTTGGCATGAAGTCAAAAACACCTGTGACTTCAATTTTAGCCTGTGGAAAAAACTGCCCACTTTGTATGAGGAATTACAAGCCACAAAGGTTTGAGTAGTGTAGTAGCTGAATTAACATAGAGTGAAAAAGTAGAATTTTAGGGTTTTAAAATAAGGGGTTCAAGGGGACAAGATGGAGGGATTTGGGTGTGTTCTGACCTTCTTCTCCTTCTTCTTGCCCTCCATGTCTTGCTGTGGTGGTGACACTTTTCTATTGGTTTAAGGTAAAGACACACTGTCTAACATAAATGATAGATACTGGCACGTTATTGTAAACATAGTACAGGTAGTTTTTAGTACAAAATGGTAACACCTCCCCAAGGGGGTGGGAGTCTGTCAAAGACTGACCTGCTAGACAGACCACAGCTCCTTGAGAAAGCATGTTATAGAGAAGAGAAAATAAACAACCTTGAGAAGCTGATCCTATGCATTCCAACTTCTTTGGCCCCGTGGGCTGGGAGAAAAAGACTTTTTACAGTTTCGGGGTCATCTCCACCACACAGGGATCTCACCCACGAGGGTCACTGTATGGGCACTGCCAAAACAGCCTTCCTTGAGTTAGTCCAAGCAGAACTCCTCAGATCCCTTCCTTATCCCACTCCCTGTCAGTAACAGGTGATCTGTGCAATGTGGCACTCAGTCACACTGAATTACTGCATCCCACTCTCATTGGCTCAGTAAGTCACTTCTGTTTACTGTCAAGAAATGCAGATGGGAAACGTGCTCAGCCATACAGGGCCCACACACCATCCTGCACATCTGCAGAGAGGCCAGACCCTCACCTCGGCTCAGCATCCTGTGAGGAGCAGACAAAAGCTGCTCCCT